AAGCCTGGAATTGCTTGCTCAGCTCACATCAGCACAGACAGGACCCTCTCCCCAAGTTCTGGTCAGACTGACAGAGTCATGTGCTGTGCGGTGGTTGTTAAGAAAGGCATGTCATACCTACATGAAAGCTTTGGGAAGACAGCCCCGAGAAGGTCTCTGCAGTAGGATTGATGGCCCCCAATCCATGTCTTTTGTACTTACCCTCTTTGTATTCTTCCTATGTATCTCCATTCCTTCATTCTGCTTTGGACTATGTGACAAAGGAATCCTAGCAAATACGTATAAGTAGAGACCTGAAAAACCCTGAGGCTTGGCAACTACTGTTGTGGGGTAGCCATTGGTCCACTGTGCAAATATTATCAAACTGAGAGGCCACACAGCTGAAAACATGTCATGTGCATGAGACTTAGATTGTACTAATAATATAATTAAGGCCCCAAAGAGACCTGCAAAGGAACCACACCCACTGTGCCCAGCCCAAATTGATAAGAATCATGAGCAAATAAATGATGGTTGAAAAGAAAGGAAAAAAAAAAAAAAAAAAAAAAAAAAAGACATGCTGTGCTGAGCAAACCAACAGAAAGCCAGATTTTATCTTCTAACATTAATCTGTCCCATGCTGAGGTCATAGAGACTACATAGCCAATCAGAGACCACAGGAAGCCTAGCTTTCTGCCTACTTTCTCGAGCCAGCCTTTCTGGATGCCTCTGATAAAACAGCTGGATGATACACCTGGAATGGCAGTGGTAGAACCTATGCTTGTTACAGAGCTGGAAGCTGAGTTATCCAGATTCATCCCCCATCCACACCAGGAAGTGTACAGATGAGCCCAGTGTATAGACATCAAATAAGCGAATCTGAAGGTGTAGCATGTGTGAGCTGTGTGTGGTGCATCCCTTTGGATTTTGTTTGGTTTGGTTTGGTTTGGCTTTCTTTGAGACAGGATTTCTTGTAAACAGATCAGAAAGAACCTTTCTACCTCTTAATCCTGAGTCCTAGGATTAAAGGTGTGTACCACTACCTCCTAGCTTCTGGCTGCTGAGATTAAAGGTGTATGCCTGACTTCTATGGCTTGTGGCTGACTTTGCTTTCTGAATCCTCAGGTAAACTTTAATAAATTATAAATAATACATTACTACAGTTTCCCAGCATAGCCCTGGTTGTCCTGGAACTCACTCTGTAGACCAGACTGGCCTTGAACTCAGAGATCCACTCGCCTCTGCCTCCCAACAGCTGGGGTTAAACTTGTACACCCCACTGACAGGCCTGTCTCTATTTTAATAGCCCTTTGGTTCCCAAGTCTTCTAGCATTGAGCTGGACTCATGAGGCAGCAAATAGCAACTCCCAACACATCCTTACTCCTTCTACCTTATGACCCAACCCTTACTCCCCAAAACTTTCCCAGTTGCTTTTAGCAGAAGTATTTTCCTAAGTACAGGTGTAGAGCCATAGACCTCATAATAAGTCTATAGTAAGTAGAAGGAATAAATCAAAGCAGGAATTGTTTCCAAATATGTTTCCTTGAATGATGCTGGCTCTTTAAAGATTTGTATTTTTATCCATATCGTACATATGTCTAATGCTTTATCTTAGTTATGTCCCTAGGCGTCTTGCACACAAAAACCAGTACAGAGTTCCTGGATTAAAACCTCTACATCTCAAAAGAAAGGTCCTGTGAATGGGAGTTGGGTGAGGAGGTGGGGGTTGTTGGTGGAGGTACTGTGGAAGAGTCCACAGTGGCCTAGAGAGAACCATAGATGGAGTAACTAAATGTACTCACTGTGAAAACTAGATGGAGTGCTTCCCCTAACTCTCAGGCATGTTTATCCCACTTACTTGGAAGGCTGGACCCTGCTGGGCTTCAGCGTGAGTAGGGGAAACACCATCAAAAAGTGATGGTCCAAACGAATACTGAAGGAAGGTAGATGAATTACTTTCTGTCTGTTGCACTCCTTTTCTCCTGTCCTTAGTTCTCTTTGGACAGAATTAAGGAAGGCCCAGAGATACAGAAGACTGTGATAGGCTTGGAGAACAGGAAATTCTTTGGTCAAGACAGAGGACATATTTATGTGATGAAGGAAGAGTGCCAAAACACTACAAAAGGAATGTAAGAGAGGAAGCTGGAAGAGGGACTAGGAACATCCAGGTTAGGTGCTGAGGTCTGAATACGTCCTTTGAAACCCGTGAATTAAAATCTAAGTTGGTAGTATACTGGCGTAAGCCATGGGACCTTTACAATGAAGGCCTACTGTCATTTCTGGAAGAGTAGCTCATTGTGGCTCCTCATGCAAGGAAAAGTAGTCTCAATTTCCCTGTCACCATTTCTCGCTTACCCATCATGGGATAACCCAACAAGGAAGCCGACACTGGTGCCTGGCCCCTTGACTTTGGACCTCTTAGTCTTCACAGTGGTATTCCAAAACCTTTCCATCTCTTCCAAGTTTCCCAGCCTGTGGTATTCTGTTAGAAGCACTAAAATGAACTAAACATATGGGGGTTTCTAAATTTGGGACTCTCACAGGCAATAAGAACCACTGAAGCAGTTCTAACAAGAGGTAAGTTCCCTGGTCTGTAATGGTTTTTTCATTCCATTTTATTTCCAGTACTGGGGCGGGAACCTGGCTGTCACTCCTGATCAGCAATCGCTCTACTGCTGAATGCTCCAAGTCCCTTTAAAAATAAATTTGCCCAGGTTAGCCTCAAACTCACTTTGCAGGCCATTTTCCCTAGTCAGTGGGATAAATGGGTCCAAGCTCCTGGATCTGGGTTCTGGTTGGTAAATCCAGATCAGCTCTTGATGGGGGCAGCGGGAAAGGGAGGTGAGAGGGCCCCAGCTGACCCTGGCCAGAGTGCATGCGGTGGCAGGACACTAGGGATGACAGGTGCCAAGGCGAGTCTGAAACAGCCTGAGATTTCCTGCGTAGGCACTCTGTAAGGCAATTTGGTGAAGCAGTGCTGTGAGTGGGTGAGCTCTGTTGTGTTACACAAAAGACTCATTTTAATGTCACAGTGTGACATACCTGTGAACCTGCAGTGGGGCAGGGTAACGTGTAGCTGAGAGGTCATCACACACAGGAGAGACAAGACAGTAGTTCAAAATGGCTGAGTATAAAATCGAGTGCCAGCAGCATGAAGGGCAGTCAAGGCCCTTCTCCTGGGAACTCTGACCGAAATAGCAGTCTTGCCTGGCCTGGCTGGCTCAACAGCTTGGCAAGGCTAACTGGGCACAATGGCTAAGTGTGGGCATTATCCATGTGGGCAGCTTGAGTTGGTCCCCAGATGACCTTGGTCTAAAGTTAGCCGATTTTCAGAGTAGCAGGAATAGCAACAGACAGCTTTGGAAGCATATTTTGTTTTCCGTAAAGAAAATGGCATCATAAGCAATACAGTTCCCAGTAGCTAGCCCTCTAGTCTACTAAGGGCTTCTGCGACTAAACATATGCCTCTGGTTTCTGGAAGACTATTAAAAAAATTAATCCCTCTCTCTCTCTCTCTTTTTTTTTTTTTTTTTTTTTTTTTCCTGGTTAAAATACCTTCAACCTCGAATGTAACTTAGAAGAATGAAAATGTTAAGTTCTTCCCCTGGGGAACATGTCAAAGAAATGGCTGTTTTCATGCTTTAGTTCATTAGCATACCATTTACCTTTCTGCATATCACAATAAGGGCAAATTAGAATGCAAAGCTTCAAGGCAGAGAAGGAATTTATCCCTTAAGAACTAGATTAAAAGTCAATGGCCCCTTGGGAGCCTGAAGATGGCATCAAGGTTCTACTGGGTTTGGATCCTCAGATGAAAAATTCCTGCCATCATATAATGCTCCGTCAGCACATGAAGTGGTAAGTGTGCTTTAGTATGTGGTGTCTGGGGAAATTATTGAGATACTGCAAAAGTATTGTTTACTTCTAATTTGTCCTCAGAGACTGCACTTCATCCTATGGACACAAGGGGGCAGAAGTCAGAGAGAAAAGGCTGCCTTAGAAGAGCCAGTTCCAGGAAGCCAGGAAGGCTTTTTTTTCCCCCACTAAGGTACACAATTTTACGTAGGCTGACACTAATGCTTATAGTGTGACCCAATGACTGCATGGTTGGAATTCAGTATTAAAACTCTTATTATCTTCTGTAGCTGTTCAGAATCCACAGCAGTCAGGACAAAGCTATTACCCTCTAAACAGAATCTATATTCTGTCCATTTTAGACAGTTTGAGAGCTAATACAATACAGTATGTCTGTGAGTCCTTAATTCTAGGAGTACATTATTTAGATGAATAACCTCTCACAGATATTGAATTTTTTTAAATGCAGTATCAGTCTTACTCAGGGTCCTCACGGTGAATAGTAATGATACTAGGCGTCTCAGTCACTCCCAGAAATGTGCTCTTTGTAGATAGCCAGGATGGGTGGTCTTTCCCTCTCTGTTTCCCCCCATGGTTTTCATGTATTAGCTGAGCATTAAGACACCATTGTATAATCTAGAGAGACTCTGGTTAACTGCTCCTGTGTTATTTGCATGTCAATAACAACAGATTTTTTTTTTCTTCTCATTTAAACTCTCAGTTGATCATTTTGTGCCCTTTGAAAATGCTAGAAAGAATCAATGAAGGCTAATCTCATCACCCATTTTTTTAAAAATTCACAATGGCTGAGGAGTCAGAAGCAAATATCCTAAAATCTTCTTTTAAAAGACCATCCAATTAATAGTTAAAGCATGATATCAAGCATCAAGTGAATATAAATATGTGAATTCCTGTTCTTTGCCTATTACAAAATTTTGAAGCAACTGCTTAAAGCATGTGTGAATCTAATATGAGCTAATATGAATATGCTTTTACAAACCTTGGGGTCACATTCAAGGGCTCCTAAGTGCTACGAAAGTAGAAATGACATTAAGGTTCCCCAAAGCAGAGTTGGGCTCTAATGATCAAGGGCCAGGCAGGAAACACTCAGCTCTAAAATCTGGGGTTGCATTTGTTAGCCATGAAGAAAATTTGGTTTACTTACCTCTCTCAAGGGAGACCCTCTAATCTCAGAAAGAGATGACATGCGTTATTGTACCCGTGAGCAAAGTCTTTGGCAGAAGTGCCATTGATCCTTGTGGTAGTGAATAGAATTAAAACATTCTGTTGTCACCATCCCTGAAAAAGCGCATTCATGTGAACATTTCTTCCACCGGCATAATGAGACATCTCATGAAGGCATGTGGGTGTACACCACTATGCGGAGATACTGCTGGTGAGTGACAGAACGCCTGGTTGATTTACACAAACCCCCAAGTGCGCGTATGAGAATAGGTTAGGTTTAGATTGACGAGCAAATGTGTAGCCAGACTTCTGGCTGACAAATGGCAAAGCTATGCCAGCACATTCGCTTCTCTGGAGGGAGACCAAAAGTGAACCAGGATCAAGTTCATTCTTAAAGGACATCCAAGTCTAGTGGATGGCTGGGTTGGTAAAGCACATATAGACACGCCCCCGCACCCCCCCAAAAAAAATAGAATTGGGAGAGTTCATAGTTGACCAACTATCCAGGCCAGGAACAATGGTTGCCTAGCATCCCTGGGCCCTGTGTGTATTTATAGTGACATTCCTTCAGAAGGGTCCTGCTGTTTTCAAGATAAATCTATTTTATTGGCAGCTTAGGTTTAAACTCACGACTCTCTAAAAATGGCCTGTTTGGGTAAACCACAACTGAAAATAACAACTGATGAGACTAGTGTTCAAAATGATGCCAAGCAGTAAACGGGCCAGATTGGATTAGTGCTATTTTGGCCAGGCACAACTGAGAACAGAAATGTCCAAACAGCGTTTGTCAAGAAGGATGAATTATTCCGACCATTCTTTCTAGGCTAAAGTAGAAAGGTCAAGACTCTAAGAATGTGGTGTGACATTAATAATAGACACTGTTTCCTGAGCTCCCGTGGCATGACAGGAGCCCTGCTCAGCACTCAAGGTGAATTCATTTCCCACCCTAACACCATGGGGCAGACCATATGCTTTTTCCTTTATGGATGATCCTGCCGATCAGAGAAGTTAGTTGTCCTGTCTGCCGCTACACAGCACTGAGACTCAAGATTTAGACTTTCTGGTTCCAAAGCCCTTTGAGTCATGCTACACTGCTAATTGAACATGTAGTGGGCATGCTGATCAGGTTTAGCAGCTTGCAACCTCTGTGGGGTTTGGGGAATGTTGGAGCTAGAATAGAGAAAAAGCTGAGAGATCTGGATTCAAATCCAGACCCCACTGGCTGGGGGAATCTCAGGAAAGTCTGAGCTTGCTCATCATCTTTCAAAAGTGTGGGAGTGGGTCTGGTATGAGAAGATGTCTAACTTGCCTTTCACATCTTTCTTGATTTCAGGAGCCTTCTTCTATTGGCTTTTAGTTTCCTGTAATGGAGGCACATATTTGGTCTTCTGTGTTAACTCAGATGTGAGGAAACATTTTCTTTTGAAATTCAAAACCTGATCTCAGTTTTGCCACAAGAATGTTATTCTTCTCTGTCAGGCTTCATTCCTGGGGAAGATGCTTGTGATACAGAGGACCTTCCATTTCCTAGGTGAAAGACTCTACTTCATACACAAGCGAGCAGCAGAGTCCTGTAGGATGTGCTGAAATAGGAAAAATGATCTACCACAGTTAATCTCGATTGTCACTGTGACTGGATTCAGAATTACCCAGAAGAGACACCTCTAGGCAAGGATGTGAGGGTATTTCCAGAGAGGGTTAGCAGAGGAGACAAAATCCACTCTGAATGTGGGTAGTGCCATTTCATGCTCTGGAGTCCTGGACTGAATAAAAGAGAAAAGAGACTAAATATGAATATCAGCATCCATCTCTTTCTGTTTCCAGACTGAGAGAGTAAAATAACCTGATAACCTCTACTCTTGCTGTACCTGGTACCTTCCCTGCTGTGATGGACTATACCCCCAGGCTGTAAACTCTTCCTAGGTTGCTTTGTCATAGCAACAAGAAAAGTAATTGCTACCTACAGTATCACTGCTAAGGAAAACCTCTAGATTTTGCTTTCATTTAAAGATGCTGCTATTTCCAATGGGGTTAGAAAACCACATGAGCTCATCATTCTGCTCATTCTGTGTGTTCCACTCCACTTTTGTAAAGTAATTGCCTTTATTTATTACAGTCTCTTTTTGTTTAGACATCAATGCACTCTGTGGATGGGATAAGCTTTCTCTGAATGTAACCATCTGCTCTCAGTGTAGCAACTTGCACATAGTCATTGAGCATCCCCATCCCCCACACCAGTTGATGGAAACATATACATTGGCTCTCCTACCAGGACATGGGTCACCCCCTGCTCAGCATTCCTGAGGCTTAAATGACACGGACCATGCTGTTTGGGGGTGCAATGACTGAACATTCCTTTGATGTTGTGCCTCATGACACTTGCTGACTAATTCCAAGCATTTGTTATTTGACCAGATGCCAAATGTACTAGCCTGGATATCTCTGAACTTACAGATAGCTGGATGCAAAAATAAGATCAAACTACCCAGGAAAATGTCTCTGTACTGTTTTCATAGGAGTAGGTAAGATAGAGTTTTGGTTAATTGGAAAGTTATTTGAGTAAGATAATTTGGCTGAGGTACGAGATTTCAAAATTTCAAATAATAGTATACAAAGTATCTTATGACAGTTACCGTTGACAGCATTTCTTTGATTTCTTTCTAGTCTTATTTAATATTTTTGTGATTGTTACAAAATGGGATCAAACAAAATATGTATTTTGAGCTCACATTTCTTCATCTAACATTACATTAATTTAACCTAAGTATCACTTTGTTAAGAATATATAGGGAGCTTAAACTCTCATTTCTTAAAAGTTTGGGTTCATTTTACTTGTTCCCTTTTTGTTATTTTTCAAATTTCCTATAGCACATTTCTATATGTGGAATTATTGGATCAAAGGAGACATAATAAGTGCTGGTTGTGATTAGTATTCATTAGAATTCCTTTCCCAAGGAGTTGCTCCATATCATCTCACAATCATTGTTGGATAAGTTTGTCTTTGCTATTTCCACTTCATTACTAAGTGAATGTGTGTGTATGTGTGTGTGTGTGTGTGTGTGTGTGTGTGCATGCACACGTGTGCACATATCTTTTCAATACCTGCTATCTACTAATTATTATCTGCATAATAGCTTTAAGGACCAGAACATGCTTTAAATAGAAGGGCTTTTTGACTGTCCATCTCTGAATTCTTCATACTGTATTGATGGCAAAACCAATAGTTTAGAGAAGGCTAGATACTTAGGCAGACCAAATTGCCCGAGTCTGGCTATTGTCAGAAAGGAACTTGGTCTTGCTTCTTTTGAGTTCAGGCATTGTGTTCTACTAGTAACGGCACAGGGCCGATCTAAAGAGCCCTTCAAGCTAGGGTTGGTGTGTATGAGGGTGGACTGGGTGAGCTGTCTAGAGATGAAAATGACCAAATGGGATTGTTTCCTTGAAAACCAAACACTTGACCCAAAAGAATGAACAAATTTAATTATTTTATCCATACCTTTTTATTGTCCCTTGTGCACATTAAAGAGCTGTGTTTTTTTCTTTTAAGTGCCTAGAAGTTGGAGTGTTTTAACTAAACTCAGATACACATGAGTAACTCCAGTTGGAAGTTGTTCATGCATATCTGAAAGCAGACTGTGGCTTTTTTGACTTTCGCTTATTAAACACAAGGAAATTCATAGTTAAAATTCCACTCTTAGCTCCTCAGCCAAGATGGGAATGGCCCCAGCTATAAAACATGATGGAGAATACCTCAAATCTAGCAATCTGTTGGAATTGTCAAATGTGCTATTCAAGTCACAATAAATCAAGACTTCACCTTCATTTCTCAAAACACAAGTTGGTTAAAAGTCTATGTGTGTCATCTTTAATGATGAAGTGTCAGACAGACTTTGCAAGAGGCTGAAGCAGGGTATGGAGGAAAGGACAAACACCTCGTAGCTGGGGGAATATTGTCTGTTCCCTGCACATCTTGAAGATCATTCTTGAGAGAATGATTTGGCTGCTTCCTTCTTAGCTGAGATGAAAAGGGGAAAACAGTCTGGAGTCCACAGTCCTGGAAAAGGCAAGATCTGCTAGCACCACCCTCCCAGCCTGGCCAAGGCATAGAGGACTTGTAGTCACCCAGAGGCTTTTGGTATTTGAATGGTTTTATGTGAGCTGACCAGGAGGTAGAAATCTCCAGCCAATAAAACACATGAGATGGATAGTCAAAATAAGCAGCAAAGCAACAACAAATGACAGGTATTTAATTGACAAAGACATGGTTCAGAATGTAGCAGAGAGTATTGTGCTGACATAATCAATTTCTTGCTGCTAATTGCAGAGCATTCTAGTGTTCTGTCATGTGGAGGCTTGATCAGGAATGTGAAACTGCTTTTGTACAAGGTCGACACAGAAAAGAAGGTGGTTTGACTTGTCATGCCTTTGAAAGGAAAAGATGGAGGATGCAGGATACATTTGTAGAGATGTTGCATCTGCATAGGTCCCTTGCTTTATAACCAGATTTTCATTTTAATCAGTGGAAAATTCTAAAGCAAACCAACAACAACAAAAAATAAAAACACAGTATTACCCAGCATCTTGGAAGATCTCTATTCCACCAATGTATTTTCATAGCCATTTGCTTGAAAGTTCAGGCAATAAATAAGTATAATACTCACAGCTCTGCCTGGGGCTGAGCTCTTGTTTTGCTCAAGGCACCAGAGAACAGGCATACTGGGTGATTAGAGCTCTAGGTATTCTCCCTGACTTGTCTGTGGGGCTCTTTTCTGCCTGGTGTGTTTCTGTCACCTCCAAACACTGCATGCTGTGATAACATTCATTTCCAAGGTTCCCGCCCAATGTGACACTCAGGAATGCCTTTGATTTGCAAGCTGAATTAGACAAGATGGCTGATACACCTAGAGTGTGCTAGCCATGCAGAAATGGGGAGGGGCTGACCCTCATTTTGTCCCCTGTTGTTTTAGAATCCTCCCTCCTTTCCTTCCCCCCCCACTCTGTGTGTGTGTGTGTGTGTGTGTGTGTATCTGTCTGTCTGTCTGTCTGTCTGTCTCTGTCTCTCTCTGGTACTAGTAGATGGTCCCTTAGGTCTCCTACTACATTCCAAATATTTCTAAAATGTTCTGAGAGGTGTCCGGCCAACCAAATGTACACACTTGCCTAACCCTGAAAAGGCTGTACAGGCATTTGTCCTCACATTTTTTTGTTGTTGTTGTTTTCTTTAAAATCAAAAGGAACAC